TTTTTTTTTTTTTTTTTTTTTTTTAAGGCAAGGTCTCACTCTGGTTGCCCAGACTGGAGTGCAGCAGCTCAATCACAGCTCACTGCAGCTTTGACCTCCCTGGGCTCAGGTGATCCTCCCACCTCAGGCTCTTGGGTAGCTGGGACTACTGGCATGTGCCACCATGCCCTGCTAATTTTTTGTATTTTTAGTAGAGACAGGGTTGCACCATGTTGCCCAAGCTGATCTCAAACTCTTGGACTCAAGCAATCTACCCACCTCAGCTTCCCAAAGTGCTGGGATTACAAGAATGAGCCACCATGCCCCACCTCCTCCTATTTCAATTTACCCCTCTTTCACCCTCACTTCAAAGAAACCTAGTGCTACGGCTTGCAGAGCTTATTGAAGTTTGTTTTGTTTTGTTTTTGTTTTTTGTATTTTAAGTAAACAGGATTAAATAGGATAAGTCTTCCCTGCTGCTGGCTTAGGATTCAGCTTTCTCAATTCCACTATGTCAATTAAAACATATTCCTTTGCCTAAGTCATAGGCTTTGATTAAACATCATCTTAAAACATGATACAGTGGCTTTATTTGCTTAGTTAAGGTTGCCTTTAATTTTGTAATCAGCATCTCTCAGCCTACTCCCAAATCAAAGACTAGGGCCCTTGACAATTACCTCACCCCTCAGCCATCATCCTGAGCAATGTAGCAATTACCCGTCTCTACACCCCTCATCACCCACCTTGCACCCAAGGTGATCATCGTTCTGCATGGTCATTATTTCATTTCTTTTGTTTCTATGTAGTTTTATTGCATATACATATATTCCTATAAAATACATACTTTAACTTTAGTTCCTTTAGCATTATATTAACAGGTATCATGCTATATGTCATCTGTTGAGAATTTTATTTTTCACTTACTATTTTATAGTATCATGTCCATATTGTTGCCTGTCACTGTAGTTTATTCATGTTGACTGCTATGTAATACTCTGTGAGTATCCTTCATTTGCCTCCCACCTTTCAAAATTTCACTTCTGTCATCCTCTCTCCTCTTCTCTTCTTCCTTGTGGATATTTTTCAAAAGTTATTTATTATAATATTAGTGGGGTTTTAGGAGGGAACAAAATTTGGTGTGTATATTCAATCTACTGTTTTTACATAGGTTACCTAAGTGATCATTAAAAATAGTTTTGAGTATCTGAGATGTTTTTACCTTACTAACTTGTAGAGAGCCCCTGCCCTGTATAAAGTATGATTCCACTGCACACACTCTAAACCTTAGTTATTAACATTCATAGATGACAGTAATATGGAAGTAGCAAGGACTTCTGTGGTCATCCAGTCCAACTTTCCACTTGGTTAAGAAATGTCCCTGGTCAGGAAGGCACAGATAGTACTGTTTGACCCTAGAGTTACCCTTGAGTACTTACTTATAACTCAAAGAAAAACATTAATATTTTAGTTCACTTTTTTATTTTTGCCTTTTTTTTTTTTTTTTTTTTTTTTTTTTTTTTTTTTTTTTTTTTTTTTGTAGAGATGGGTTCTTGCTATGTTGCTTAGGCTGGTCTCAAACTCCTGGTGTCAAAAGATCCTCCCACCTCACCCTCCCAAAGTGCTGGGATTACAAGCATCAGCCATGATGCCTGTTCTTTAGTTGACTTTTTATAGCCTTACTGCAGTTAAATGTGATGTTTATATTAGACTTATTTAATTATTGAAAATACCGAAGGGCCCTTTTGTTGTTTTTAGGGAAATCCAGGGATCTGGGGGCCCAGGTTAAGGCTGTAATTCTGAGTACCAAAAATACAACAGGCATTTTAACCTTTTTTTTTTTTTTTTTCTTCCTGCACAGGAAAAGAAAGAATAAACCTTTTCTTTCTTTTTTCCATTTCAGGGATGTTATCAAGTGGCTGGTCAAAGCAGTAACTGAGGATGGATTCACTCAGTCCCCAAATAGAAATCAAATGTCTTCAGGAACGGGAATCTTAAAGGCCGGCAGTAGCCACCTTTCTTCTCAGCCCAACAGGACAAAGAACACCAATCAGCTGTAAGGGGCAGGCAATTATCTTTCCTGGGCCTCTTGGGATGTAGTATTTTAGGGAACAGCACCAATCCCTAAGAGCAGCTTCCCCCAAATTAACAAGATCTTAGAACATAGGCTGATCCTTATTCAAGACTTAACTAAAGGCTAAATTTCTAATTCCAAAGATAAAACAAAACCAAGTGCTTTTACCCCTAAAATGATTAGGACTTCACTAAGTGAATACGAAGTCACAACACAGACGTTAAACAAACACTAGAGGACACTGCCCTTTGTTTCCTGCATTTCAGGACAAGAAAGGGTTACAGCTTCTCATCACTTCAGGTGTCCATTGTCATAGAGAAGAAGTGGTGTGTAGTATGAGTTTTGTCAACCTCGAGTCCTCAAGGACCTGGGTTTCTCTCCCCAGGTCTTGGGAGAAAAATAGCAGTTCAGCCTGCAGGTTCTAACACACCAAGGCAGGCCTTATTACCATAGACTGCTCTGGAAAGAAATTCATGGCATTTCTTTTATGGGGTTAAGAGAGGCTTTGGCATTTTTTGAGAGATGCCAGGATTTTAGGGGCTAGGGCTACACTTGTACAAATAATTCAGTATTGCATGTCAATCACACTGTTAAAAGCCAGTCACACTGGACATTTCAAATATAGCATTTGTGTCTGAATTCACAATGTTATATTACAATCTTGTTGAACCAACCTGATTTTTATGTAAGGTCTACATGTTTAGATTGTTTCCTAAATTATAACTAATTATAACTGATTTAGGAAACAATTTTATATCTAAAGGGGAACGTTTTGGAACAATGAAGCATTTGGGCAGATTGAGGAAGGCCCTAAAGTGGCATTCTCCCACAGGTGCCACATGCAGACTCAAGAGGGAGGTGGACACTGTTCCTTCCATGGAAGCTAATATCACCTAATAATTATCATAATTAACATTTATAAATACATGTTAGTAGAAATAACAATAGGGCCCCCTAAAAGTCAATTATGTCATGATCTTATCACAATAATAGACCGCTATCACTTATCATTAGATAGTCCCTATCTGTGAGATATTTTATATATCACTCACAGGTTTACAAAATAGACTATATTATTGCTCATCCTTTTGATAGCTGAGAACACTTGGACTCAGAGTTTAGTAACTTGTTGAAGGTTGAACAGCTTGTTGAAGGTTGTAGAGCCAGAATCTGAGGCCAGAGCTCCTGATCTGGCCCACCTGTTGTGTTACTGGCTGCAGATTTTCTGAAAGTAAAGCATTTCTTCCATCACAAATAACACATGTTAGAAAAGGCTGATGTCAGGCCAGGCTCACCTTTCTGAGAGGTTGCCCAGACTCCTAATGCCACATCAGTCTGGCTCTGTCCCACAGTTAGATCTAATAGGAGAGAAGTCAGGTTCCACCAGGGGAGGTTCTGAGACTGAACTTAGTAAGAAACTATTGTAAAGGAAACAGTAACAGGAGAAAACTATATGGAAAATACATATTTTCTCCTGTATCAAAGAAATTTAAATCATTTTGAGTCACTTTGGACCTGTTTTTTCATCTATAAAATAGGGAAGCTATAGATTAGATGATCCTTATAGTTCTCTAGATCCTTAAGGTTGTGTGGTTCTATTTTTGAATTTAAAAGTAGCTTGCTTTTACAGCTCAACCCCAGGTTCTGAGAGGTTCAGATAGTATGATCTGGCAAAAGGGATCCAGGTAGGTGAAATTGCAAATAAAAGCATGCTGATGGCTTGAGTAGTTCTCCCTGACCTTGTGTGTGCTCTATAAGATCCTTTAGTAGTATCTACTCTCAATGTACACTGGTGGGGACCTCCTCCCAGCCACCGAGTGGCTCCTTGCCAGACCCTCCCATTCATCTGTGTCCTGTGTTCTGGACTCAGGATTGTGTGCCAGCTTCAGAGGATGCTCTCCATAGCCGTAGAGGTGGACAGGACCCCCACCTGCAGCTCCAATAAAATTGCTGAGATGATGTTTGGGTTTGTGCTGGACATTCCTGAGAGGAGCCAGAGGTGAGTCTTGTTGGGGAAGGGGGTTGTTTAAAAAAAAAAAAAAAAAAAAAAAAACTCTTAGAAATCATTTTTATTAAATTAACTTTTCTCTCTATGCCACCTATCAAGAACAGAATTTTGCAAGAGAAAATTCCAAACTAATTAAAATAGGAGAAAATACTAGAAGGAGTAGTCCCATATTTTTGACTTTTGGAAAGGAGGTTCTCAACTAATTATTATTATTTACAACTGAGATATAATTTATTGGGAAGAGATACAGAACCCTAAATGGAGCCTAAATTTTCCAACCTTATCAATTTGCCTAACAATTTTACCCTTCTTTCAAGATTTAACTGTTAAGGCTAGATGTGGTGACTCATGCCTGTAATCCCAGCACTTTGGGAGGTCTAGGTGGGCAGATCACCTGAGTTCAGGAGTTCAAGACCAGCCTGGCCAACATAGTGAAACCCTATCTCTACTAAAAATACAAAAATTATCTGGGCATGGTGACGGGTGCCTGTAATCTCAGCTACTCAGGAGGCTGAGGCACAAGAATCACCTGAACCAGGAGGTGGAAGTTGCAGTGACCTGATAGAGTATCACTGCACTCTAGCCTGGGTGACAGAGTGAGACTGTCTCAATAAAAATAAAAATAAAAATAAAAAATTTAGCTGTTAAGCCCTGCCTTCTTCTCTGATCTTTATCCATACACCTGGCATAAGTGTTCATTAAAGACTTGGTAAGTGAATGAAATAGACATATCCAATATTAAAGGAACTAGATGTAACCCAAGAATGAAAAGAGTTGGACCTATAGAATGAGCCCAGATAGTAAGGATTAGGAATTCAGTTTCTCTAAGCATGAATTAGTGAAGTGTTTCATTAGGAAGGGATAAAGAAATGGTTTTTGGCCAAAACCAATGATTCCTTCCTTGAACCAGTATTTTAAAATCCAGAAGAAGAAAAATAAACTAGAATGAATATGAATTCACGAACACCTACTGGTACAGAAAATAACTATAAAGAGCCATTGTGTCGTGGTGCCCCTTGGGGAAATTATGGTGTATGTTTGTCTGCAGGGATCTCCATCAGCTCCATGCCTGCTTCCCTAACTATGCCATCCCTAAACTCCCAGCTGACAACCAAGACACTATTGTGCAGCTCTGGTTTCCTCTTAGAAGAAAATCTCATGCCAAATAGTACTGTAATAGGACTTAATTAAAATACTCTGGTAAGATTAAGACATTTACTGAGTCCCTACAATGTGCCTGTCGTTGTCACATTAATTATCTCATTTGTTTTGTTTTTCTTTTTCTTTTTCTTTTGTTTTAAATTTAGAAACAGGGTCTTGCTATGTTGCCTGGGCTAATTTCGAACTCCTGGGCTCAAGCAATCCTCCTGCCTCAGCCTCCCAAAGTTCTGGGATTACAGGCATAAACCACCTCGCCTGGTAATGTTATCTCTATTTAATGAATAAGAAAAGTGCTCAAAGCGTTGGAGTTAACTAGCCTACATTTACGTAGCTAATCACGTTCAGAATCCAAATTTAAACCCAGGGCTGCTTAATCCCAAATTTGGTATTCAAAGGAGGCAGTATGTTTTAATGGTCAGACAGAATAAAGTGCACATGAATACCATGCCTGCTCTAACACTTTGTCAGGAGTATTTCATTTGGGTCCAACTCCCCTACCATTCATTCATATAAGCCCAGATGCCGGTAAGAAATGGAAAAGCTAAGGAATGGGTAACAAAAATAAATTTGGAATTAAAACAGACAAACATGATTGATACAAAACCTGGCCATACTTTAAAATTCTCTCAGAAGGGGCAAATTGGCCACTCACCAGATTATACTAAAATATACTTTGCTTGACCTTCACCTTGATTTATTTTAATTTTCTAAAGTTTAAGTATAATTTACATACAATTAACTAATTTGCATACATACCATCCAGTGAGTCTTGACAAATGCATATACCTGCTTGACCTATCATTTTTCAATTGCTCATTAGTAGTCCATAGAAACCCTGCAACCTTAATAAATTAACTTATTCTAGTAGGATTTTTGTTTGTATGTTTTCCTTAGAATTTTCTACATATACAATCATGTTATCTAAAAATACGGTTTAATATTATCCTTCCCAATCTGTGTATGCCTTTTACTTTCTTTTTCTTCCTTTGTTGCATAGGCTAGTATCTCCAGGAAAATATTGAAGAAGTAGTAAGGATAGACATTATTGCCTCATTCCTGATCTTAGGTGAAAACATTCAGTCTTTGACTATTAAGTATGATGTTAGCTATAAATGTTTCATAGGTACCCTTTGTCAGATTGAGGGAGCTTCTTTGCACTTCTAGTTTATTATTTTTTATGAAGAATAGGTATTGAAATTTGACAAATATATTGTCTCCATCTATTAAGATAATCATAATTTTTCTCCTTTATTCTGTTGATGTGGCATATTAACTGATTAATCATGTTAAAACAACTGTGCATTCCTGGAATAAAAACCCTACTTCGTTGTGATGTTATCCTTCTTATATATTGATGGATTTAAGTTGCTAATATTTTGTTAAAGGTTTTTGCATTGATGTTTACATGGGATACTGATCTGTAATTTTATTTTCCTATAATGTTTAATGTTTCCTTATGCATGTTTACAGAAAGGTAAGTTAAAACTACACTGAGATACCATATTTTACCTATCCAGTAGTAAAAAAATTAACAATATTATAGCTCATTGGTGAGATTTTGAGAAAGCAGTTACTCATACATTGGTGATGAGAATGCAAAAATGGTACCAGCCTTATGGAGGGTAATTTTGCAATATCTAACAAAACTAAATGTGTGTTTACCTCTTAACCCAGCAATCTCATTTCTATGCATACAAAAATATGTATACAACTGCAGCATGGTTTGTAATTACAAAATACTGGAAACAACCCAAATGCCTATCAATAGGAAAGTGGTGAATATCTGTGGTATATCTATGATGGAGTATTACACAGCTATAACAAGATTAAAATTAAGAGAAACATTTCTATGAACTGAATTCTTTATTTTGTTGTTGAGTTGGAGTTTCACTCTTGTGGCTCAGGCTGGAGTGCAATGGCATGATCTCTGCTCACTGCAGCCGCCACCTCCCAGGTTCAAGTGATTCTCCTGCCTCAGCTTCCCGAGTAACTGGGATTACAGGCACCTGCCACCACACCCAGCTAATTTTTGTAATTTTAGTAGAGACGAGGTTTTACCATGTTGGCTAGGCTGGTCTCAAATTCCTGTCCTCAGGTGATCCGCCCACCTCAGATCCCAAAGTGCTGGGCTTACAGGCATGAGCCACCACACTCGACCTTCTATGAATTGAATTCTAAGATAAGTTTAAAAACCAAAATACAAAAGTATGTATAGCAAATATATATATCTTTTTGTAAAAAAAAAAAAAAAGGAGAAATTAAAAATAAACATGATTCTGATCATTTGTTTAAAAGAGAAAGTTAAGTAAGCCACGGACTAATAAAATTGCTTATATACAGAGAGTGGGTGGGAATGGGGTAAAAGGAGGAAAGCTGCTGGGCTGGGTGGTAATGGTGGCAGTTAGTGGTGGTGGTAAACACTTCCCTGAGTATGCCTTTTTGTGTGGCTATAAACACTTTTTAGAGCCATGTTAACCCATTTATGCCTGCGTTTGCAAATTTTTTGTGTGAAAAAAAATCAGACCTTGGCAATGATCTTGAGCAGTAGGATATAAACTCCCACCAGAGTAGTGTCCCAATAATAGAACACTTGGCATACATTTAATGTTTTACATAAAAAAATCAAGTTCATGGGGTGCCAAAAATGGAATACAAACAGAAACAAGTTAACCTAACTGTGTTTTAATAAAATAAAGGGGAGCTAGCATGGTGGCATGCACTGATAGTCCCAACTACTCAGGAGGCTCAGGTAAGAGGATCATTTGAGCCCAGGAGTGTGAGGCCGGCCTGGGCAACACAGCACATCCTGTTGGTAATTAATCAATAAAAGTGAGGGCAGGAGTGGCGGGACAAACCCAAGTAACTTTATTTTATTTTAAATAATTGTAGATTCACAGGAAATTACAAAACCTATTAGAAGTATTGTGTATCCTTTACCCTGTTTTCTCCCAGCTACAAGGGGAACTATATAGTACGGTATCACAAATAGGAAATTTACATTGGTATAATCCAGTACTTTATTCAGTTCTACCCATTTTACATGCACTTATTTGTGTGTAGCTCTTTGCAGTTTTTTCACACATGTAGATTTATGTAACCATCATCACAGTCAAGATGCATAACTGTTGCATCATCACAAAGATTCCTTGTGCTACCCCTTCATAGCCACAATTACCCATTCTCCCCAGCTCCTAGCAAACGCTAATCTGTTCTCCATCTCTGTCAAAGTAACTTAAAACACAGTATTTGGATTAATTGCCATAATGGAAAAGACAAAATAAACTGAACTCTAGTTAGTAGGTTTCTTTTTCACAGAGATATAGATTAACAATTCAAAAACTATTTTATGTGTATTCTAGGGTTAAACAAATAAATGTATTGTGGATACTGAGAGCCAAGTTTCTCACTGTCAGAGAAAAGAGTTACACACATGAAAAGGGGGAAGGATAGAAGGAACCCTGTGGTCCTGGACTGGAATTGGAGGTATCAGTATGAACTTGTGGTTTCTAATAAATATAGAGAGATATAGGAATAGATGTAGATGTGTGAGGGCTTATTTACATATATGCACACATACGTATGTATGTATTCATACATATGTTTCCTACCACTGCCCACTGAGAGAGCATAGAAGCAGTTATATCTTAGTAGCAGTGAGCATACCTCACTTTGTTTTGTAATTCCAGTTTACATGAAAGGAAACCAGGGCGAGCTGTGGTGGCTTACGCTTGTAATCCCAAGCACTTTATGAGGCCAAGCCAGGCAGATCAGTTGAGGTCAGGAGTTCAAGACCAGCCTGGCCAACATGACGAAACACCATCTCTACTAAAAATATAAAAATTATCCGGGCACAGTGGCTCATGCCTGTAATCCCAGCACTTTGAAGGCCGAGGCAGGCAGATCACCTGAGGTCAGGAGTTCAAGACCAGCCTGGCCAATATGGTAAAACCCTGTCTCTACTAAAAATAAAAAATTAGCTAGGTGTGGTAGCACGCACCTGTAATCCCAGCTACTGGGGAGGCTGAGGCAGGAGAATTGCTTGAACCCAGGAGGCGGAGGTTGCAGTGAGCTGAGATTGCACCACTGCACTCCAGCCTGGGCAACAGAATAAGACTCCGTCTCAAAAACAAAACAAAACTAAAAGCAAAGCCTGGCGCCATGGCTCACACCTGTAGTCCCAGCTACTTGAGAGGCTGAGGCAGGAGAATCACTTGAACCTGGGAGGCAGAGCTTGCAGTGAGCCAAGATCACACCACTGTACTCCAGCCTGGGCAAGACTCTGTCTCAAAAAAAAAAAAAAAATTCTATAAATGGAATCACATGGTATGTAATCTTTTGGGACTGGCTTTTTTCATTCAGCATGATTCCCTGGTGGTTCATCCAGGTTGTGTATTTTAATAGTTCATGTCTTTTTATTGCTCAGTAGTATTCCATGGTATATCACAGTTTGGTTTTCTAACCGTTTATCCATTGAAGTATATCTGTGCTGTTTACAGTTTGGGGCTATTATGAATAAATCATCTATAAACATTCATGTACAAATTTTTGTGTGAACATAAGTATTCCCTTATCTGAAGTAACTGCCCAGCAATACAGTGTGTCATGATGGTTGCCTTTTTAGTTGTGTATGTGTGTTTTTAACAGGACCTAGTGATGTGACAGTATGCATGTTTAGTTTTTTAGAAACTACCAAACTGTTTCCTTAAGTCTCTACACCATTTTACATTCCCACCAGCAATGGATGAGTGATGTAGTTTCTCTGCATCCTGGCCAGCGTTTGATGTCACTATTTTATTTTAGCCATTCTGACATTTGTGTAGTGATGTCTCATTGTGGTTTTCATTTTCATTTCTCTAATGGCTAATGATGTTGAACATTGTTTTATGAGCTTGCTTGCCATCTGTACAACTTCTTTAATGAAATACCTATTTTTTCATGTTCTAAATGGATGGTTTGCTTTTTTATTGTTGAGTTTTGAGTGACAAAGACTAGATACTAGTCTTTGTCAGATCTGTGGTTAGCAAATATTTTCTCGTACTCTGTATTTTGTCTTTTCATCCTCTTAGCAAGGTTTTCCACAGAGCAAAATTTTTGATGAAGTCCAACTTAACTTTTCCTGTTATGGATCATGCTTTTTTACCAGAATCCTTGGGATTTTTTATGTAGATCGTCATGTCATCTCTAATAGGTAAAATTTTATTTCTTCCCTTCCAATCTGTATGTCTTTTATTTTCTTTCTTGCCTTACTGTTAAGGCTGGAACTTCCAGTACTATATAACTAGAAGAGGTGAGAATGTACATATTTGCTTTGTTCTTGATCTACAGGGAAAGCATTCAGTCCATTAATTAATGTATCAGTTTACCATTAATTATGATGCTGTTTTTTGTAGATGTTCATTAACAACTTGAAGAACTTCCCTCCTATTCCTAGTTTTTTGAGAATTTTTATCATGAAGAGGTATTGAGTTTTATCAAATGTTTTTCCTGAAAGTATTTTTTTAATGATTGCTCTTGGAATTGTAATATTATATAGCCATAACTTATCACAGTCTGCTTTGAATTAATCTTATAATCCTTAACATGTAAAAATCTTAAACTGTGTACTTTCATTCACCCATTCCCATCTTTTGTGCTATTACTGTCATACATTTTATTTCCACATTTGCTATAAACTCCAGGATGAAATGTTATTATTTTTGCTTTAAATATTTAGTTGCTTTTTATTATTAAATTTTTTGGTTTTGGGGTTGTTGTTTTTTTTTTAGACGGAATCTTGCTCTGTCGCCCAGCTGGAGTGTAGTGGCACGATCTCAGCTCACTGCAACCCCCGCCACCCAGGTTCAAGTGATTCTCCTGCCTCAGCCTCCTAAGTAGCTGGGACTACAGGCACGTGCCACCACACCCGGCTAATATTTTTGTATTTAGTAGAGACGGGGTTTCACCATTTTGGCCAGGATGGTCTCGATCTCCTGACCTTGTGATCCTCCCATCTTGGCCTCCCAAAGTGCTGGGATTACGGGCGTGAGCCACTGCGCCCAGCTTTGGGGTGTTTTATTGAGACAGTCTTGCTCTGTTATCCAGGCTGGAGTGTAATGGCGTAATCTTGGCTCACTGCAGCCTCGACTTGGGCTCAAACGATCCTCCTTCCTCAGCCTCCTGAGTAGCTGGGACTACAGGCACACACCACCACACCCAGCTAAGTTTTTTAAAATTTTTATTTCATACCCTGAGGGCTACTTCACTTAAATTTTTTGTAGTGATGGGGTCTCAAATGTTGCCCAGGCTGTTCTTGAACTTTTAACCTCAAGCAATCCTCCCACTTCAGCCTCCCAAAGTGCTAAGATTACAGGCATGAGCCACCATGCCTGGAAAATTGTTTTTTCAATAAATTAAGAGGAAAAAAGAATTTAAAAAACAAATTATTTCAATAAACCTGGAGGAGGAAGGGGTAAAAAAATAAACTATTAAATTAAGAGATGGGGGTTATATTTACCCACATATTTACCATTTCTGATATTCTTCCTTCCTTCTGGAAAATCCAAATGATAGCATTGATATCATTTGATATCATTTCTCTTTTACCCAAAGAACTTACTTTTTTAAAATTATTTTTGTAGGGCAGGTAACAAATTGTCTCTATTTTTGTTTATCTGGAAATTTTCTTTAATTTCACCTTCATATATGAGGGTGTTTTTGCTTCATGTAATTCTGGATTAATGGGTATTGTTTCTTATTTATTTTAAATATGTGCCATTTTCTTCTGCTTACAATGTCTCATGAGAAGCCATTAGAATTTCTTACTGTTGTTCCCCTGTATATGATGTCTTTTTTTTCTGGCTACTTTATTTTTTATTTTTATCATTTTCATTATAATATCTACATTTGGTTTTCTTTATTTTTATCCTGCTTGGGGTTTATGGAGTTTTTTGAATCTGTGGGTTATTTCCCATCAAATTGTGAAATATTTGACCATTATTTTTTATATTGGTCAAATATATATTTTGAGATGGAGTCTCACTCTGTTGCCCACTCAGGTTGGAGTGCAGTGGCATAGTCTTGGCTCACTGCAACCTCTGCCTCCCAGGTTCAAGCAATTCTCCTGCCTCGGCCTCCTAAGTAGCTGGGACTACAGGCATATGCCACCACGCCTGGTTAATTTTTTTTTTTTTTTTTGTATTTTTAGTAGAGATGGGGTTTCACCATGTTGGCCAGGCCGTTCTCGAACTCCTGACCACAGCTGATTTGCCCACCTTGGCCTCCCAAAGTACAGGGATTACAGGTATGAACCACCGCACCTGTAAATATATATTTTTAATATCTTTTTGCCCCAACCTCTCTCATCTTCTGGGAATCCAAGTGTACATATAAATCTGTTCCACGGATCACTGAGGCTCTGTGTTTTCTATTGCTGTTTTGTTTCATTTTGTTTTTTTTTTTCTCTCTCTCTGTCTCTCAGGATAGTCTTTAAAATCCCTATTCTTTTTATTCCCTCAGTGCCTAATCTGCTGTTAAGCCTATTATTGTATTTTTCAGATCTAGAGTTGACATTTGGTTCATTTTTATTCTCTTTGCTGCCAGTCTTCATCTAGTCACTCATGTACATCTTAATTTACTTGCTTGCTTTTGAAAATCTTGAACATATTTATAATAGCTGTCTAAAAGTCCCTCGCAACTAATTCCAATGTGTGTGTCACCTCTTGGTCTGTTTCTATAGGCATTTGCTTCTGGTTATGGATTACATCTTCCTGCTTTCTTTGCTTGTCTGGTCATTTTTATTGGGTGCTGGACATTGTGGGCACTACATTGTTGAGAGTCTGGATTTTGCTCTTTCTTTTTTTTTTTTTAAATTATACTTTAAGTTCTGGGGTGCATGTGTAGAACGTGCAGGTTTTTTACATAGGTATACACATGCCATGGTGGTTTGCTGCATCCATCACCCCGTCATCTAATTAGGTATTTCTCCTAATGCTATCCCTCCCCTATAACTGCACCCCCCACCCCTCCCCTAGTCCCCCCCCACACACACGCTGCTTTGTATGATGTTCCCCTCTGTGTGTCCATGTGTTCTCATTGTTCAACTCCCACTTATGAATGACAACATGCAGTGTTTGGTTTTCTGTTCTTTTGTCAGTTTGCTGAGAACGATGGTTTCCAGCTTCATCCATGTTCCTGCAAAGGACATGAACTCATCCTTTTTTTTTTTTAATTGCATTTTAGGTTTTGGGGTACATGTGAAGGACATGCAAGATTGTTACATAGGTACACACATGGCAGTGTGATATGCTGCCTTCCTCCCCATCACCTATATCTGGCATTTCCCCCCTGCTATCTCTCCCCAACTCCCCACCCCCTGCTGCCCCTCCCCTATTTCCCCTGACAGACCCCAGTGTGTGATATTCCTCTCCCTGTGTCCATGTGTTCTCATTGTTCAACACCCACCTGTGAGTTAGAACATGTGGTGTTTGATTTTCTGTTCTTGTGTCAGTTTGCTGAGAATGATGGCTTCCAGGTTCATCCGTCCCTACAAAGGACACGAACTCATTTTTGATGGCTGCATAATATTCCATGGTGTATATGTGCCACATTTTCCCTGTCCAGTCTATCATTGATGGGTATTTGGGTTGGTTCCAGGTCTTTGCTAGAACTCATCCTTTTTTATGGCTGCATAGTATTCCATGGTGTATATGTGCCACATTTTCTTTATCCAGTCTATCATTGATAGACATTTGGTTTGGTTCCAAGTCTTTACTATTGAGAACATATGCAATAAACATAGGTGTGCATGTGTCTTTATAATAAAATGATTTATAATCCTTTGGGTACCTGTGGCTGACGGAGGGCGCCAAGGGCATTTTGGCAGGAAGCCGGACAATGAGAGTGTCCACCGCCCACGCCAATAAAGCTGTACCGGTTTTGAGTGGGCGCATTTTCCGCCTCCAGGGTCGGGGTCGAGGTTCTGGTGGCAGGGCAGAGGGAAGAGCGGTTGGGTGGGGAGGCGCCGGCTCCAGACGCGGAGGGAAAGAGCTACGATTAGCCGCAGAGAGGCCACGGAGCCAGCGACCACCAACCCAGCGGAGCCGCCACCGCCAAGGATACTCCTGAGGACCACAGTACTTCCACTGAGAATGTAGACGAGTCTCACCATGACCCTCAGTTTGAGCCAATAGTTTCTCTTTCTGAGTAAGGAAGTGCGGGGGAAACTTTCCATTTGCCTCAGAGAACGATCTCCCAGAATGGAAAGAGTGAGGCACCGGCGACATCAGGCTTCTGAAGCACAAAGAGAAAGGGCCCCTCCGCCTCCTCATGCAGAGAGACAAGACCCTGAAGACCTGTGCCACCCACTACACCACACCAATGATGGAGCTGAAGCCCAACGTGGGTAGCAGCCATGCCTAGGTCTAGAGCACTTATGCCGACTTCGCCAGTGAGTGCCCCAAGCCAGGGCTGCTGGCCATCCGCTTCCTGAATGCTGAGAATGCACAGAAATTCAAAACAAAGTTTGAAGAATGCGGGATAGAGATTGAAGAGAGAGAAAAGAAAGCAAGATCAGGCAAAAATAATCATGCCGAAAAAGTGGCAGAAAAGCTAGAAGCTCTCTCAGCAGTGAAGGAGGATATCAAGGAGGATGCTGAGGAGAAGCAATAAATCATCTTATTTTATTTCCTTTTCCTATCTTTCCTTTTTTTAAAAAAAAAAACATTTTACCCTGCCCCTCTTTTTCGGTTTGTTTTTATTGTGTTTCATTTTCACAAGGGACATTATACAAGGAACTGAATTCAAAAAAAAAAGAAAAAGTCCTTTGGGTATATACCCAGTAATGGGATTGCTGGGTCAAATGGTATTTCTAGTTCTGGATCTTTGAGGAATCGCCACACTGTCTTCCACAATGGTTGAACTAATTTACATTCCCACCAACAGTGTAAAAGTGTTCCTATTTCTCCACATCCTCTCCAGCATCTGTTCCTATTTTACGGATCGCCATTCTAACTGGTGTGAGATGGTATCTCAATGTGGTTTTGATTTGCATTTCTCTAATGCCCAGTGATAATGAGCTTTTTTTATGT